ATTTTTAATTGCCTCATATACATGTGAAAGCTGGAAATAAGGAAGACCGAAGAAGAATTGATGCCTTTGAATTATGGTGTTGGCAAAGAATACTGAATATACCATGGACTGCCAGAAGAATGAACAAATCTGTCTTCTAAGAAGTACAGACAGGATGCTCCTTAGAAGGGAGGATGACAAGACTTCGTCTTACCCACTTTGGACATGTTATCAGGAAGCACCAGTCCCTAGAGAAGGACATCACACTTGGTAGAGGATCAGTGAAAAAGAGGAAGCCCCGCAATGAGACGGACTGAGACAATGGCTGCAACGATGGGATCAAACAAAGCAAAGATTGTGAGGATGGTGCAGGACTGGGCAGTGTTTCATTCTGTTGTACACAGGGTCGCTATGAGTTTGAACTGACTCGATGGCACCTAACAACAAAAGGATGACTATAATCAACCAGACAGACGTTATGGATTAAACTGACTCCCTGCAAAGTATGTACTAGAATCCTAGCCCCTAACTATACCTATGGATGTAATATCGTTTGTGAATAGTATTTTCTGTTATGCTAATAAGGCCATTAATATAGGGTGTATCCTAAACCTAATCATTTCTGAGTTATAAAAAGAGCAGATTAGACACAGAAACAAGCACAAACAGAGGAAAGACAGATGCCATGTGAAGGTCATGAAGACTGACAAGGAAATCAAGGAGCGCCAAGGCTACAGAAGCTGAAACAAGAATCCTTCCCCAGAGCTGACAGAGGGTGAGCCTTCCCCTCTAGCCGGTGCCTTGAATTTGGACTTCCAGCTTCCTAAACAGTGAGAAAACAAATTTCTGTTCTTTAAAGCCAACCCATTCGTCGTATTTCTGTTATATCAGCACTAAGAAACTCAGAAAACAGATAATAACAAGTGCTGATGAAAATGTGGGGAAATTACAACTCTTAAAAACTACTGATAAGATTGTAAACTGGTGTACCTACTATGGAAAACAGTCTGGCAGTTTCTCAATAGATTAAATATAGAGTTACCATATGACCAAGCAATTCCATCCTGGCTATATACCCCAGAGAAATGAAAACATGCGTTCACACAAACACTTGTACATGAATGTTCATAATATCATTATTCTTGATATTCAAAAAGTGGAAACAACCCAAATGTCCATCAACTGATGCATGGATAAATAAAATGTGGTATGTCTATATAATGAAATATCTATCCATAAAAAGGAATGAAGTATTGATACATACAACATGGATGAATCTTGAAAACATTGTTTTCAAGCATAAGTGGATATTATATGAAAGAAACCTGTCACAAAAGACCACTTATAATATGAATCCATTTATATGAAATGTTCAGAACAGGCAAATCCATAGAGACAAAAGTAGATTAGCGATTTCCTAGAGCTGGAGAGAAATATGGAGTTGGGCTGCAAGGTACAGGGTTTCTTTTTGTGTGTGTGTGTGCTTTAAGTCAAAGTTTACAAGTTAGTTTCTTATACAAAAATTTATACACATATTGTTATGTGACCCTAGTTGCTCTCCCTATACTGTGACAATACACTTCCTCTCCACCTAATTTCCCATGTCCATTCAACCAATTCCTGACCCTCTCTGCCTTCTCATCCTGCCTCTGGACAGGAGCTGTCCATTTAGTCTCCGTATCTACTTGAGCTAAGCAGCACACTCCTCACAAGTATCATTTTATGCCCCATAGTCCAGTCTAATTTTTGTCTTACGAGTTGGCCTCAGGAATGGTTTTTCAGTTAGCAGAGAGCCCAGGGGCCATGTCTTCTGGGGTCCCTCCAGTCTCAAACCATTAAGTCTGGTCTTTCTACTAGAATTTGAGTCCTGCACCCCACTTTTTCTCCTGCTCCTTCAGGGACTCTCTGTTGTGTTCCCTGTCAGGGCAGTCATTGGTGGTAGCCAGGCACCATCTAGTTCTTCTGATCTCAGGCTGATAAAGTCTCTGGCTTATGTGACCCTTTCTGTCTCTTGGACTAGTATTTTTCTTGTGTCTTTGGTGTTCTTCATTCTCCTTTGCTCCGGTGGGCTGGGACCAATTGATGCATCTTAGATGGCCACTCACTAGCTTTTAAGATTCCAGATGCCACTCACCAAAGCGGGATGCAGAACATTTTCTTAATAAACTTTGTTAATTGACCTAGATGTCCCCTGAAAGCATGGTCCCCAGGCCCCCACCCCGCTACTCTGTCACTCGAAGTGTTTGGGTGTATTCAGGAAACTTCTTAGCTTTGATTTAGTCCAGTTGTCCTTCCCTTCACCTAAGATAATTCTTGTCTACTATCTAGTTAGTTAATACCCCTCTCCCTCCCTCCCCACTCTTGTAACCATCAAAGAATGCTTTCTTCTGTGTTTAAACCTTTTCTTGAGTTCTTAGAATAGTGGTCTTATGTATTTGTCCTTTTGTGACTGACTAAATTTACTCAGCCTAATGCCTTCCAGATTCCTCCATGTTATCAGATGTTTCACTGATTCATCATAGTTCTTTATTGTTGTGTAGTATTCCATTGTTTAAATATACTATAATTTATCCATTCATGCGTTGATGGGCACCTACGTTGTTTCCATCTTTTTGCTATCGTGAACAGTGCTGCAGTGAACGTGGGTGTGCATATACCTATTCGTGTGACAGCTCTTATTTCTCTAGGATATATTCCAAGGAGCGGAATAGCTGGATCATACTGTACTTCTATTTCTAGCTTTTTAAGGAAGCGTTAAATTGATTTCCAAAGTGGTTGTACCATTTTACATTCCCACCAACAGGGTTTCTTTTTATGGTGATGAAAATGCTCTAAAATGGACTGTGCTGATGGTTGCACAGCTCTGTGAACATACTAAAATCATTGCACTGTACACTTTAAACGGGTGAATTATATGGTATGTGAATCATATCTCAAGAAAGCTGTTACCAAAAGAAGTTTATACAATAAGAAGTGGAACTCCACTATTTTAATTGCTGCCCATTCTGTTGCTCAGAGGTAACATCTATATATAAACTTTTCTAAATAACAAAAACAGGCTCATACTGTCCATTCTATATTGCAACTTACAATATATACTTTATATAGAAGACATCTTTATGTTAGTATAAATATTCCTATCTTATTCTTTTTAACGGCTATGCAGTAGTCCAATAATAACAACAGCAGCAGCAGCAATGGAAGTTAATATTTATATAGTGCTTCTATGCGCCAGGCACTGTTTTAAGTGCTTTACATATATTAATTCATGTTATCCTTACAACAGCTCTATGTGGTAACGTTGACATTATGCCCATTTTACAGAGGAAGAAACTGAGATACACACAAAAACCCAAAGCTGCTGCCGTCAAGTCAATTCCGACTCATAGCCACCCTACAGAACAGAGTAGAACTGCCCCATAGGGTTTCCAAGGAGTGGCTGGTGGATTTGAACAGCCAGTCTTTTGGTTAGCAGCCAAGCTCTTAACCACTGTGCACCAGGGCTTCAAGACAAAGAGATATACCATAATTTATCTACTGATGGACCTTTTTTTTTTAAATTTTACACGTTGCTCCAGTAAACATTCTCGTGCGCAGAATCACACACACTTGTGACAACAATTTATAGCACAAATCCCTAGCTGTGGAACTCCTGAGTCAGTTGATAGATACATTTAAAAAAAATGTATGTTGTCGTTGTTAGCTACTGTTGAGTCGGACCCCAACTCACAGCAACCCCATGTGTTGGCAGAGGAGAACTGCTCCATAGGGATTGCTATGAGTTGGGGGCCGACTCGACAGCAGCTAACAACAACATACAATTTTTTAAATGTATCTATCCACCGACTCAGGAGTTCCACTGCTAGGGATTTATGCTATAAATTATCATCACAAATGTGTATAATTCTGTGCATTTAAGGAGCTGCTGGGTGGGTTTGAACCAACACCTTTAGGTTAGCAGCCAATCACAAACTACTTTCACCACCCAGGCTCCTTAAAAAATTATATTAAAAAAACCCATTGCCGTCAAGTCAATTGCGACTCATGGCAACCCCACGTGTTGACAGAGTAGAAATGCTCCATAGCGTTTTTCCTTCACTGTACTTTTTAGGCCTTTCTTCCATGGTGCTGCTGGGTGGGTTCAAACTGCCAACCTTTCGGTTAGCAGACAAGCACAAACCACTTATGCCAATTGCCCTCCAAGATGGTTGCGGCATTTTACTTTTCCCTAATGTGGAGGAGAATGCTAGTGCCTCCACATTTCCCACAGCTCAAAGCTTGCACTCTTTACCACTGCCCTACCATCCTCCTCAGCATCTCCCTGCATGTGGAAACTTCCACACGGTACTTCAGGCCCCCAACACCTGCCTGTGGTGCTACCTGGGACTCCACTCAGTGACTCGGGCTTGCCTCTCAGACTCCGATCCTGCCTGTGTATCTCAGAGTCCCTGAAAGCAGCCCAGAGAGTCCTCGCCCCTCAGACTCCTAGGGAGCACTCCAGCCCACAGGGGAGACAGGCATGGAGATCAAGAAGAGGGATGAAGGGAGCTGTTATGGATTAAAATGTGTCCCCCAAAATACGTGCTGTAAATCCTAAACCCTATACCTGTGGTTATAACCCCATTTGGGAATGGTTTTTGTTATGGTAATGAGGCAGTATTAGTGTAAGGGTGTCTTAGATCAATCTCTTTTGAGATATAAAAGAGCAGATTAAGCAAGCAAGCAAGCACAAATGGAGAGGAAAATACATGCCACATAAATGTCAAGGACCTTCCCCTAGAGTGGACAGAGAGAGAGCGAGCCTTCCCTTAGAGCCAGTGTGCTGAATTCAGACTTCTAGGCTTCTAAACTGTGAAAGAAAGAAAAAATTCTGTTCATTAAAGCCAGCCACTCGTGGTATATCTGTTACAGCAGCACTAGATAACCAAGACAGGTGCCTCAAGTTGGGAGAACCCAAACAAAGCTCTAAGAAAGGGATGGAGGGGCCCTGCCCCACTGCCCAGCACCCCTCGCCCACTCACCTCAGCTTCGGCCAGGCTGATCTGCCTCTCCAGATCCTCAGGGATCATTTTCCCTCTGGAAAAGAAAATTGAGAGCATAGAGAAGCAACAGATTCTCTAGGCCAGGAGGGGGAACTGTTGAATAGGGTAAGGCAGAGTTAGCAATGCAGAGGCCCTAATGCTGGCTTTTCCCTAAAGGGGCAAAACAGATCTCAGGGGACAGGGTGGGAGACACTAGGGGCAGGAGTGGTAATTCTTCAGGAAATGAGAGGGAAGACAAGTTCACCAGGTTATGGGCCTGAGGCCAGAGCATTCTGGCAGCAGGCAGGTACACTGTGAGATGCTGGGTCAGAGTCACATGGACAGAAGGACCTTCACCTCTCATCCACCTTGACCACTCGGACACTGTCAGTGCCAAGTCCCAGAAAAGCAGCTCCCTTCTTGATGGAGTAGTGACACTGTAGAGGAAGGCAGAGGGCAGGTTAGGATGACGTGGACCAGGGGCCAGAGGGCAGGGAGGATGAGGAGGAGAGGGACCGATAAAGTGTGAGCTGCAATTGATGGGATCCTGTACACCAGGGCTTCTCAAATATTAATATGCACACTGATCACCTAGGTGTCTTGTTAAAATGCAGATTCAGAGTCAGCAGATCTGGGGTGTGGCCTGAGATTCTGCATTTCTAACGAGCTCCTCCTCAAAAAAAAAAAGAAACCTGTTGCTGGTTGCCGTGGAGTCAATTCTGACCCACAACAACCCTGTAGGACAGAGTAGAACTGCCCCATAGGATTTCCAAGGAGCAGCTGGTGGATTTGAACTGTTGACCTTTTTGATTAGCAGCTGAGCTCTTAACCACTGTGCCACCAGGGCTCTCAGGTGATACCAATGCTACTGGCCCATGGACCACACTTTTGAGTATCAAGGGTGTAGACTGTGTTTACTGGACCTGTTTCTCCCTACCCCACCCCTAAACAGAAGGCAAAGTGAATAGGAGCTAAAGTTCACTCAGCCTCCTTAACTGGAAGGAAGCATATCTGTCCGGCAGGGAAGGCAGGCTGGTCTCAGAGGAGATGGGTGGGGCAGGCAGAGGACCTGAGGGGTCTCTGACTCAGCTGGCTAGAGGTTGGAATCAAGAGCCCAAGGTTGTGCTGTGCCTCCTTCCCACCTCCTTCGACGTGAAGAGGGCCAGGGGTGGCAGTGCCCGGAGGCCCCTCTGCTTGCAATCTGGGTAGCGCTGATAGCGGGCCAGGTTCACAGCATATATGTTGGAGATGGAGCCACCTGTTGCAGGAAGACGTAGTGGCAAGAGGGAGGGGCAGTGGGTCAAAGCTGGAGCTTGCCTCTCCCTGCCCCTCCGCCCAGAAGAGCTGACCAAAGAAGAGGGATAACTGGCTCTCAGGCCACGGCTAGGCTCTATGAAGGGCAAAGGGATAACCAGCACAGCTCCAGGATCCTCCCCACTACCCCCTCCACATCCTGGGCTGCTCTCAGGAGAAAGCCCCCACCAGAGGTAGCAGGCACTACAGCACTGATCCCAGGGACTGTTAGGCAAACATGAGGATAAAGGGGGCTGGGCAGTCTCCTCCCTGGTCTGGCCAGGACCCAGCTGGAAAGGCAACAAAGAATTACCCTGCCCTGACAGCTGTTCAAGCAAGAGAATGTGGGGGATGCAGAACCTTTAAAAAGGCTAAGGAAAGGGTTCCCTGCTTCTCACATACCAGGGCAGAAGACCCCATCCCCAGAGCTCCATCCCACCAGGGCCCGGAGTTTCCTCAGCACCTCCTCTTCCATGAGTACAAACACGGGAGCAATTTCATATGTGTACCTGCCAGAAAAAGGAACGATGAGAAAGGGACAGAAGACAGGGAAGGGCTGCAGGTCAGTCCCTTAACTCTAAAGAGGAGCCAAAGAAAGGGGGTGGTGAGAATGAGGAGGGGAAGGGTCCAGAGAGGGGAACAAGTTGTTGACAAAGAACCAGTAAAGCAAGAATGAGAAAACAGGTGGGATAGAAGAAGGTAGTTAGCACCAAGCAGGTGAAGTATAGTCACAAATGCCCACTAGGAGGCCAACAAGACATTCCCAGGAAGCAGTACAGAAGAGAGAGAGAAGGAAAAAAAAATCTCCTCCCCTACCCAGGAAGGCACTTCTCTCTCTCTCATCAAATCCTTTGATGTGGTGGGGAGGGGCCGTGGGATGACTCACTGGCTGGTGTTGAGGCTCTCAGTGATAATCCGTCCAGCAAGAGAGTGGGGATCCAACCCTGAAAACAGCTGGTTGAAGAACCGAGGGTGACCTGGAGGAGGGGCGTAGGACAGGGAGTTCAGAGTTGAACTGGGTACAAACCCCAGAGATTCCTCCCACCAGATCCCAGGACCCACAGGTCTTCACGCTGTAATGAATCACAGTCCGGCACCGCTCCAAGATCTGCTCCTGCGACTCCCCCTGGCTCCGCAGCTCCAAATCCAGCAGCTGTTTTAGCTCCTCTGGCTCCTTCCACTCACAGACCTCGGAGGAGAAGAGGGAGACTCGGGGGTATCCAAACCCACAGACTGGCTGCCTGAACCACATCTCAATAGACACAACACACAACCAACTTACACCAGAAACATTAACTTAGGCCCCAAACACCCTTTGAACTCAGCACTGAAGTCACTCCTGAGGTTCACCCTTCAGCCAAAGATTAGACAGGTCCATAGAACAAACAATAATACAAGTAGCTCAACCACGTATACCACACTAAATGGGCACACCAGCCCAGGGGCAAGGACGAGAAGGAAGGAGGGCACAGGAAAGCTAAACAAACGGAAATGGGGAACCCAAGGTTGAGAAGGGGTGAGTGTTGATACATTGCAGGGTTGGCAACCAATGTCACAAAACAATTATGTGTATTAATTGCTTAATTAGAAACTAATTTGCTCTAAAGCACAATAAAAAAAAAAATCAACTTAAGAATATTTTCAAAGCAACACATGAGCAAGCGTAAATACAGTGAGACCCAGTATCTAAATTCCTAAGGCATACAGTGAGCCAATGATGAATTCTGAGTAGACGCCTTCTCAAAGGAAGGAAGGTCTGAGCCAGGTTTTGAAAGGGAAAGGGAAGGTTTGATGGGGAGGAAGAGGAGGAGGGAGAAATTACCCACCTTCTCACAGGCGCTGGTCCCTTTCCGAATGGCCTCATCCACAATGATCCTAAACACATCCCATAGCAGGGCTTCTGTGGCCACGGGGTCCCCATCAAGGGAGGAGAGTGGTTTTAAGTCAGCCATCAGGACAAAATCTGTGAGCAGAACAGGTATTCTTCCCTCCTTTGCCTGTATACCCTACCTGGACCTAGCCAGCAAGAACCCCAACCCCTCAATAGGCCTAAGGCCCCAGTCTGGCAGCTCAGTCCCAACCTTCACTGCACAGAAAGGGAAAGTGAGAAGGTCCAGCGAAAAAACCAGTGGAAATAGGTAGGAGAGAAGAGGATAGTTAGCACTAAGCAAGTGAATTACAGTGTCCACCACCCACCTAATGCGAAGACAAGAGGCTTACCTTTCTGCGCAGGTCTCTGTTCAGGTGAGCTGGAGACAGAGTACACAATTAGCTTTTCAAAAGAGCAGGACCAGAACAGCAGAGGGAGTGGGGTATAGGCAGCAGTCACGTGGCCATGATATCACTTCCCATGACCCTTGCCCTAAAGAGAACTTAGATTTGGGACAGAGATAACAGGCTGAGATAAGTCTCCTGAATAATTAGCTGAAGGGGAACTGAGATAAAGTTAAAGGTAAAAACACATGCTACATTATATTAACCTCAGGGTTGAAAGGCATGGAGAGCAAGCAGGGAAGAGATAACTCCCACTGTGAATCAAAAGGCCCAGGGTAGAGACATGGGTGATGTCTGGCCAGGAGCCAAGCACAGTGGAGGCGGGATCTGGGGGCTGAGGGGGTAGAGGGCTGGTGAGAGACCAGCAGCAGAGGTAAAATGGTCAGGCAGGCCTCAGGGGCCAGTCTCTTTTGCATCCCAACTCTCAGAGTTTTTTCCAGAAAGGGTCTGATTTCTAAAGCACTGTATTACAGCAGGAAGGAAAGGATATACTGAGGAAGCATTTTGTTAAACAAGCATAGCCCTGTGCCTTGCAAACTGAAAGTGCTCGTTAAACTAGAGTTGTTGTTTTGAAGTGAGCACCAACTGTGTTCATGACACTGTGCTGGGGACTTAGGAAGCCTCCCTGTCCCACTGGAAAGATACAGATGCATGTGCAACAGTTGTGGACCAGGGCATGACGGGATGCCGAACCTAAGTGCTATCAGGACTCAGGAATGGAGGAGACTGACGGAGGCTGAAGACTGGGGAAGACCTGCCGTGGGACTGGAGCTGAATCTTGGAAGTGGGTAGGAGAAATGGGACAGGTGAAAGGGAAGAGGGAGGTGCATTCAGGGCCAGCGGAAAGGAATACCACGGGCTTACACTGAGAATGAGTAGGGCTTGTTTTGAGGTCAGTGAAGCTATCAACTGGCTGGAGTGGAGGGTCTGCATAGGGTGATATGGGAGTACAGATGGGGTGGATAGAGCTGCACAAGATTATGGGGAGCCTTGAGGACCAGCCAGGCCAAAGGATCTGAATTTTATCCTGCAGAAAATGGGAAGTCACTGAAAGATTCCATGGCAAGGAGTAATGTGATGAAACTGCTGCTCTCACAACCAGTTTAGCAGAAGAATTAACAGGCTGTTGTGGTAAACCAGGCAAGAGGTATCCACAATTGAATAAGGGTGGTGTTGGCAGGAAAGGACAGATATAAGAATCTGCAGGTTTGTTCACTCACTGGGTTACAATGAATTCAACAACTATGGAGGAGAAGGAAGAATCAAAGATGACCCTAGGGTTTGAGGTCTGAGTGACTGGAAAAATGATGGTGCCCCTAAAAGAAACAGGGAAATAGAAAGGGGACGCTGGTTTGAAAATAAAAGTTATTTCTTAGATATACTGCATTAAGACTCATCCAAGTGGAGGCCTCTTGGGACTACAGATACTCACATGGGAGGTCAGGCCCAGAGCTCTAATGAGATGCTAGAGTGGAAAGCAAATACCAGAGTTAAGGTATAGCTGAAACCTTATGATAGCCTCCATTCCCCAAGGGAGAGAATGTGCAGAGACAGCCAGGGAGGGGGAGCAAGCACCAAGGCCTAGGGGTCACCAAGGTCACTCAATGAATGGGCAAGATGATCAAGGAAATCTGATAAGGGAGAAAGCTGCTGCAAAGTGGGCTGCTCTGATATTATCTACTGTCAACAGCCAAGGGGCCCCACAAGGGTTAGAAACACTAGTTGGTGGTCTTGCCCTTAAGCTTCTCCTAAGTAGACCCAAAGGATCCAAAGGATTGGGTTTGGGGAAAATAGGAGAGCTAGCTCAGTCCTCCAGTATGAGGGAGTCAATTCTTTATCAGTGGTCACTGCAGCATATCTGACAGGTGGCAGCAGTGGGGCATTTAGGTCTCCAGAGAGAGGCTAATAAGAATAGGTACCATTTAAGCAGAGGTGTAGCAACTTACAGGGGGGCATTTGCCCCCACGTGCAAGCCCAAGGGGGCATCAGAGGCCAGCCAGCAAATCACTCCTCCTTGATTGGGGGGGCACGCAAATTTAAGGGACTGCCCCTAGGTACTCGTTACCCTGGCAATGCCTGTGCATTTAAGTATCTACTACACTCTGTACTTAATATGCATTATTCTAATCTTCACAAAGGAGCCCTGGAGGCACAATGGTTAATCACTTGGCTGCTAACCAAAAGGTCAGCAGTTAGAACCTACCAGCCACTCTGCAGGACAAAGACCTGGCGATCTGCTCCCAAAAAAGGGCAGTTCTATCCTGTCACAGTGGGTCAAAATGAGTCGACTTGATGGAACACAACAACAATCCTCACAACCATTTAGGGTAAGCTTATTATCAGCATTTAAAGATGAGGAAACTGAGATTTCAGAGATACTATATAAATTGTTCAAGGTCACACAGCCAGTACGTGCCCAAACTGGGTTTGAACCCAGGTGTGTCAGACTCTGAAGCCCTGCTCCTAACCATCATGCTCTACTGCCTCATGCACGGCTCTCTCCAGCACTGGGTTTGCTGTAGAGAAAAAACCACAAGGCCTGGAACGAGGTGACCTCTGAGCCTTGATTTCTATCAAATAGGCAGCTGCCAGTGTTGGCTGAAAGTTTTGAGGTGACAAGGATGTCAAATGCTCTAGTAATGGAACTCAGGCCATTGGATTTGTCAAGCAGGCCAGGGGAGAATTTCCTATCACAGTAGTGGTGGAAAACAGGCTGCAAGGGGTTAAGGAGGGAACGACTGGTGATGAAAGAGAGACACCTTGCTGGAGGGAGGCTTTCCCCAAAGCACTGAAGACAGGGTCTGTAGGGAAGAGCTTGGGTTAGTCCACCTGACACCTTCTGTATCCACTCCACCTCAGTCACCTCTCAGAAATGAATCTGGGGACAGGGGGGCCCTGAATACTACCAGGTGCCCCTCCAGGGGAAAACAGGGAGGTAAGATGTCACTACCCTCATTCTCCATATAGACTCCTGTCCTTGGAGGACAGGACAGAGGGAAGGGCCCCTGCCCTCAGAGAGTTTTTCTTTTTAAAAGTAAGAAGATAAAATGATAAAGCAAAGAAGCATGAACAGAATTAGGAGCAGCGCTGAGAAGATGCTGGCAAGACCAAGTAAGGTTTGTTAAAAATTTCGCAAGTCTTTTCTGAAATCACGGGATCTCTAGTCCATAAGGTCATCTAACCATCAATTCCCTCGTACCTTTATTTCCTTCACTTATACAATCTAGTTTGCATGGCCTATCATTCAGCCACTCTCCTCCAATATCCTCAACTCCCTGCCCTACTGTCCTTCCACCAAACCCACCAGGCAAAACCCCAAACCCATCCAAACCCGGCCTGTCCCTCTCTCACCAAATCCACCAGGCCTGCTAAATTCTGGTAGTGAAAATCGTATAGCCATTCAAACTGCTATCACTGTAAATTCATGCTGTCTCTGCTCATTCCAATTAAACATAAGGGATTAAACACATTTATCACTACTCCTTGAAACCCCATTAAAATTACATCAGTAGAACTTTAAATCCAGAAGAGTAAAGCAAATGAGGAAATGGACAAGTGGTGAGAGATGTCAATAATTTTAGAAAATAGAAAGCAGATGAGAAGTGGTAACTGGTTGAGCAAATGGCAGAAAGCCAAAACCAGTATGTCTGCACAGGGCTATGCCAACAGGAAACTAGCTGGTTCTCAGGGCAGAGCTCAGAAAGGCTCAGGAACTGAAAGCATTAGCTATCAATTCAACCGTGTGGATCATAACAAATTATGGATAACATCGCAAAGAACTGGAATTTCAGAACACTTAACTGTGCTCATGTGGAAACTGTACATAGACCAAGGGGCAGTTGTTCAAACCGAACAAGGGGATACTGTGTGGTTTAAAGTCAGGAAAGGTGTGCATCAGGGTTCTATCCTTTTACCATACTTATTCAACCTGTATGCTGAGCAAATAACCCGAGAAGCTGGACTATATCAAGAAGAACATGGCATCAGAATTGAAAGAGTTCTCATGAACAACCTGCAATATGCAGATGACACAAACTTGCCTGCTCACAGTGAAGAGGATTTGAAACCCTAATGAAGATCAAAGACTACAACCTTCAGTATGGATTACACCTCAACATAAAGAAGACAAAAATCTTCATAACCGGACCAATAAGCAACATCACGATAAACAGAGAAAATACTGAAGTTGTCAAGGATTTCATTTTACTTATATCCACAATCAATGCCCATGGAAGCAGCAGTCAAGAAATCAAATGACGTATTTCACTGGGTAAATCTGCTGCAAGACTTCTTTAAAAAAGTGTTAAAAAGCAAAGGTGTCACCTTGAGGACTGAGGTGCACCTGAACCAAGTCATAGTATTTTCAATCACCTCATAAACATGTGCAAGCTGGACAATGAATAAGTAAGACTGAAGATGAATTGATGCCTTTGAATACACCATGGACTGTCAGAAGAACGAACAAATCTGTCTTGGAAGAAATACGGCCAGAATGCTCCTTAGAAGCAAGGATGGTGAGACTTCATCTCACATACTTTGGACATGTTATCTGGAGGGACCAGTCCCTGGAGAAGGACATGTTTGGTAAAGTAGAGGGTCAGTGAAAAAGTGGAAGACCCTCAACGAGATGAACTGACGCAGTGGCTACAACAATGGGCTCAAACCTAGCAATGACTGTGAGGATGGCGCAGGACCGGACAGTGTTTGATTCTATTGTACATAGGGTCCCTGTCTTAGTTATCTAGTGCTGCTATACCAGAAATAAATACCACAAGTGGATAGCTTTAACAAAGATAAGTTTATTCTCTCACAGTCTAGGAGGCTAGAAGTCCAAATTCAGGGTGCCAGCTCCAGGGGAAGGTTTTCTCTGTCTGTTGGTTCTGGGGGAGGGTCTTTGTCATCAATCTTCCCCTGGTCTAGGAGCTTCTCAGTGCAGGGACCCCAGGTCCAAAGGATGCTCTCCCCTCCTGGTCTTCATTCTTGGTGGCATGAGGTACCCCCATCACTGCTGGCTTCTGCTTCTCTCTTTTGTATCTCAAAAGA